GGATACCTGGACTAAAATAGATTTTGCATTGTAGAAAACGAATAAGGATTTATTGCGACTATTTCATATCAATATATGCCCCGATGTCAGGAGAAAACCAAGGATTGATGACGGGGAGAATCATAATCACATTAGTCTGACAGTTTCATGGTACATGTGGGAAGGTTTGAAAGCAAGACATCATGAATAGTGAAGTCCATTATCATCTGTTCAAGGGCTGAAAGGTCGATAAGTTTGTCTTAAAGCCAATGGGTTTATACCGTCCCGGCTCTCGGCATACGTAATATGATAAAGAAGTATAGGAGTATTTCACATCATAAATACCATCGCACCATATGAACCAAGGCAATCATCACATCTAAAACTGTACCTCTGACAAAAAAAATGGTTAACATTTTTGATTTTTTGTTTTGTTTGATTTTTTGATTTTTTTTTTAAAGGCAGATTTATTTCTGCATTTATTAACATAATCAAAATTAAATAGACAAAGAACATTTTTTCAATAAAATTAAAATTAATAAAGCAATTAAAATAGAACAGTTATACAATCATAATATATAAATGTGACAATAATTTAACTATAAATTAATATTATATAATTAAATAAATGCAGTAGACCAACCATCATAAGCAGGGAGCCTGAATGGATGGTGCCCTGGGAGGGGGAAGCTACGTGGTGCCAAAAAGGCGTTGTATAATAATTATTCAGATCGTCACCTAAATGTATAATTTTAAATGTAACAAAAAATAAAACATAAATAATTGAACGTATTGATTATTTGTTTGATGTGATGGGGGCTTCAGTTCATGAAATAGAATAACTAAGTTCAAGTCATTAACAGTTTACACATCCTAGATTTCAAATGGAATGTGAACATTTGAGTACAAAACAATGGATACCAACTGACCCAGTTATACCAACAATAAAACGAACAACCCGATTCGTGTATTTGGTTCCAATTCTATAACCCCATTGGCACCCGCCGCATTCGCAGGAACGCAGAACATGACAAAGGATGACCCCGCGTTCTAAATTATACCGCCGGACGCCCCCGTCACGCCCAGGCATCCAACGAACACTGCGAATGACCAAAGTCGTATACATGTGTAATAAAGAACAATGAGGGACCGAATCAACGTTCCTGCAATGGAGATTGCGCTATTATTATATTTATGAAATATATTACATCAAAGAGTATAAATGGAATTTGCAATAATATTAAAAATCTTATTAACACAATTTAGGAATGTGATCAAAAATTATAAAGTACATAATTAATATGTGGGGCAATCCAGTGGTGAACATAGTTAAGTACGCCAAGAAACAAACCCCATATCACGTCCAAGTAACTTATAAACAGAATTGGTGTGAGTAATTTGATTTAAACAAGTGGGTCAGTGAGCAAAAAGTTGACTTGGAAAACTATTGTAAACAACCTATCATAAAAATACAGAAATGCCAAACTAGTACAGAATTACTGGAATTAACGAACAAGTATAGCTCAGAATTGAACAATAATTAGTGAGGTTTCAATAAAATCAATAAAACTATTTATACTTTTTCTACTTTTCTGTGTCTTTTCTAATTTAAATCATAAAGGGATAGTTGAGTTCTTGTTTAAGACCGCAAATGCCATCAAAGTGCATGGTTATTGCTCTTATTCCTACTTAAGACATTTCTAGTGCCCTTTTAGAGCATAAAATTGCTATGAAGGTCATTTTAGTTCCCAAATGTGTGAATTTAGATTGAATACGATCATACCAATTAAGCTCCACTTTAAAAAAAAATACGGTGACCATTAATTAATTTATTAATAATAACAATACACGGGCCAGCTGGTTGTGCATATTATAACCAACACGAAAAAGCCAACAAAAAGCCAATATTGGCATTGGCTGGAATACAACGTAAAAGGCGCTAACTCGTTTTTCAACGGCTGGTTCAAAATTACCGAATATTTGTTTGGCACAACAAATATTAGAAATGGTTATATTTATGGATATTTCAGCCGTCTCTGAACCGATTTTAAAATTCAAACAAGGATAATTTTGTCATTAAAATTGTATATTCTTTCAAATTTGACATTCAGTTTTTCATTATCTCACAAAACAAATATTTTGTGTAGCGCCCTCTGCAATAAAACTCAACTATCCCTTTAAATTTCAAAGAAAATCAATACAATTTACTCCCAGTTTATCTAAAGGAGAGGAACAAGTACACTTTTCATTAAATACTTAATATCAATCAATGTTTAAAATTAAATATCAAATAAAACTTTTAAATATCATTCAGATTTCAAAATGTACTACAAAATACAATTATCGTTTTCAGTTTGTTTCTCAATAAATCTAATAACTGTGTTTATGTCTCCAAATACAATAATTTATATTATACAAATAATGAACGGTTATGAGTTCAATAATGCGAATATTTTCATGAGTTGAAAGATTAACGTTAATTCTATTCAACGAGGCGTCAGCCGAGTTAAATAGAATTAACGTTAATCTTTCAACGAATGAAAATATTCGCACTATTGAACGAATGAAAAACATTCATTATTTGTTTTATACAACATCGAAGAAGATCTAATAGAACGTTAATAAACAAATTATGCTTGACTCATTATATTAAAGATAAATTAAAGTTGGAGTCAAGCCTTCTCGATTACATTCAGATTACCTTCGCGTCAGATACACGCAGGGATACGCGCACGACAGAGAGGTACGCAGTCTGCATATAACCCAAAATGCATGGCGAATATAACCAAAAATGCACGCCCGTGCAATAAAACATCTATTGAATATCATGTGACCAACAATCCTCCAATCAAATGACAAGGATCCACGTAAGTGTTGTATAAAAAAAAATGGTAGTGTAACAATGGAGAATAGTGAATCACGAAATATTAATTTCATACATTTATATCAAAATATGAAAATAAAATAATACATATTATAGTATTAATGACTGCTTTGAGAGAAATAGTTGTTTTTATACGGTCAAGGAAAGGTTAGAATTGTGCTATTACCCGAGGCGTGCCGAGGGTGAAAGCCCAATTGTAACCTTCCCGAGAGCGTATAAAAACAACTATTTCTCGAATATTAAAGCAGTCATTAATACTTTTATATGCCGAAAAAAAAAATTAAAAAAAGAAAAAAAAAAGAAAAAAAACTTCTTTCGAAGATGGGATTCGTTCTCTTGCGTACAAAAGGTGATGTAACTAAAATCAGCGCCTTGAACCGCTCGGCTATCGCGCTCTGTTACCGATCAAAGCAGTTTTTTGTTATATATACATTAAAATGGATTGAAACGGCTTCGCGTGGTGGATGCTTCGCGGCTGCTCCATTAAACAGGCCCTTCTTTTACTTTTGCAATGCATATTGGCACGAATTTAGATCAAGATCTATCGGCAGATGTTGTTTTTTTGTTTTTGGAAGTTTATTTTCGTCTTCATGTCAACAATGCAAGATAAAATTGTCGGTAAGATCGATCGAGATTCAATTGTATTGAAATTACCGACCAATTCTTAGCACACGTACGGTATCCTCGATCGCTCAGACCATTTTTTAACATGTAAACCTATGGGGTAACCATGGAGACTGACCTATTTTCCCAATAACCATGGTTATTGGGATTTTGAACTGTTTTTTAACCATGGTTACCGGGAATTTTCGGGAACAGTTAAAGTTTATAAATGCAATTTCGACCAATCAGATTGCTGGATTACTTAAGTGAGGTATATAACAACATTTATTGTTTGTATAAAACATGCTTGGTCATAATTATTTCCTTAATGAAAACGCCTTTGTATCAATTAGTCATATACAGATTTAATAAGTATTTCTATTAGCAATTTATTAAATTCAATGCATAGTTTAATGTTATCTTCAGAGTTCCGATAAACCAATATACCTGTCTTAATCAAATCTTATCTGTTCTCTCCTTTTTCCTTTTCTTCTCTGCAAGTCAGTCTTTTCTATTTGTATTTGTTATTATTGTTGTATCTAAGTTGAGGGCTGCGGGCACGTCAAGCTACTTGCTTATTTCTGTAGCCCTCCTGCATCTAATGTATGTTAATTATGCATTCAATATATTTGTTTAAATTCGTTCATTATCTGTACAAAATTATATACACTTAAAATATTGTATCTCCTACCAGAATCTTTGTGTTCTTATATTGCCACAATGTTTAAAACGTCATTTAATTCATTGATTTTAAAAACTTCCTTGCATCACAGCATCCTTTATATTCAGAATGTACAAATGTAAGAGGAGTGTTAACAACGCAGACATTACATTTGAAATGTACAGTTCGTTAAACCAATACCAGAAGACGTGGTAGAACACGCTAATAAAGTGCGTTTAGTTCGATATTCTTTGAACTTGTCACTTTTCACAACCTTCCCATATCATCATTCGACTTGAAAACTTCATCAAATATTTGCTCGTATTATTTCATGCACATTTTTATTTCCGGACATAATAGCGTGTGTTTTATACATGTCAAACCAGCTCGATTGCAAATATGTTTATGCCTAAAGATGTGCGTGTTCATGTTTTAAAAGTCTGAAAATTATGAACCAAAAATAAAAATAAAAATTTACGTGTGATGTTTTCATACTTTTAAACGAATGTCTGTCTATTAAACCGCGTTAACTGTAAAGAAAACAAATAAATTTCGTATTTTTATATAATACAAATATTCTATTTTACCACAATAAAAACAGCAGATTGTTTTCTAAACAGCATCGTTCAAAGTTGATAGCCTTGATCTGAAAGGCGTTGTATACAAAAACAACGATTGTTTGTAGATTACGTATTAACATGAATCAATTTCTAATATTGATTACATATCTGGATTGATTTCGTTCATTGATTTTCTAACTGAATTACGATAAGCACATAATACAGAGAGAACACGGGGCTTTCTACATGATCAATGGACTACGTTAGATCAGGTTCAACTAAGTGCATCTTTATGATTACCAGCATGGATATCTTACACATTGGTTGAAGACCTTTTAAACCTTCTTGGATCTTTCGCAGCGACTTCACCAAAGAGTGCAGCTTTTGATTTTGAATCACTCCGAAACATATCGCACATGGCCTGACGAAATTGAGGGTCACGAATGGTATATATGAAAACATTCGCCCAGGAGTTGGCAAACGCGAGAACGACCAGGGACTGATAGTGAAGACCAAACAAATGCGAAATGTCTAGAAGTCTGAGGTTGAGCATCAGATAGAAGATTTGAACCGGTCCCCAGCAGAGGATAAACACCGTCGTGACCAAGAAAAGCATCTGAATGACGCGTTTCCTAGCGACGATATGGTTCATGTTAGCATTTGATCGATCGTTGTTAGAGTTGCTCTCCTGGAATTGAAGTGATTGCCGGTGAAGGACAACTGCTGTCATGATCTGTGCTAAGATCATTACCATCATCGGGAGAACAAATTCCACGATGAAAACATAAAGACCAATCGCGAATTGAGCACTTTGAGATGAAAACATAACGACACATGTATTCCCAGCTGCATACCCTCGAACAACCAGGTAGCTATTCGATGCAATTGCAGCGACCCATATAATGAAGATGCACTTGGAGGTGCGAGCAGGGTTGACATTTCTTAAGAAGAAGAAAGGATGTGCGATGGCAATGTAACGTTCCAGGGAGATGGCAGTTAATGTAAAGACGGAAGCCAAAACGGCTACCCACATGATTATGGATCGATGAATGATACGACAGTAGACCTGAGCCAGCCAAGTATCACTTGGTAGAGTAGCAATCTGCGGGTGTGGTATGAAGAATACAGATGTCAAGAAGTCGGCGAAAGCCAAGGCTCCGATCAGAGTATCAGTTGACCGACGGGCTCTACGTTTGTTGAACAACACCAACATCACCAGAAGGTTTCCACACATTCCTAGTATGGCAGCGAACAATTGAGCAATGACCCACCACGACCACTCCATGGGTAACCAGACCCAAGGAACTGGGGCTGCAGCGGATGCTGGACGATTGTTAGATTGAGCGGTGTCTTCTTCCAAAACCGTCGAAAATGGCATCAAAGTAGTGACAGTAACGACTCCTGTCATTAAAATTGTGCTGTTGTTAATCCATCTAGCCATTGTCTTCGTTTTGATGATTAGGCCAAATAGTTAAAGGTTGAAGATAATAGTCGTTCGGGTATTCTTTTAGAAGGAACGTTTTATGGACACTTCTTCAGCATTCACAAATACCCTGTGAGGAGACAGTATTTAAAAAAGAAAGTTCAAGATTTACTCTTTCATTCAGAAACAACAAAATAATCCTGGCTTATACACAAATCGTTTTGTACGTGTTTAATTAAAGTGGTTTCATTCCTCTTGAAGACGAACACACTCTTGTATCTTGACCACGTAGTGTTGCTAAAGTTGACTGTATCATTTTGTGATACTTGTGCCCAGAGGAATATCGAGTTAGACTCCTAATTAGATGGATACTCGCATGACATATTATATTGGTCTCTATTTAAAAAAAATACCTGTTCGCGCTATACAATATACACCCATGACAGGTAAACTGTGATGAATGCACCTACATGTAGAGAGGATATTAAGATTGCCGCAGATTATCTCACTGAAATGATAATATATTTAATCAATACTCCTTTGAGTTTAGCCAATATGCCCTTGTCACTGACCAAATTGCTTTTGTGGTTTCGCGAGTAATACATTTTCATATAATAACATTCTTCAGTAATATTATTGTACAATGTAGAATTGTGACTCTCTGATAATTTAGCTATTTTAAAAGACCACGAGTCAAATTTAAATTTAGTAGGAATTTTTCTTTAAGTATACATAGTAATTTCTTTTGCTTCTCAGATGCAACATTAACGATTAACGGTAAATATAAACATTATTATGAGCATTAACAGAAATTGATTTATTTGCGCATATTCATTTTTACTGTTGACTCCAATTGAAATGTTAAAACGCTACAATACATAATGTAACTGGACGTAATGATCATGAACTAAAACAGGTTATCAAATAACAAACAAGGAGGAACCCTTACCATAAACCATGACCCGGCTTCTGGATGCTGCTATGTGCCACGACAAGATTCTGCGAGGCAATATAGCCAACTTATTTTTTAACGGGGCGTTTTGATAATCTCGAACGAGAAAGCCTGGTTACGGAAGAGACTTAATATTTTAACGAATATCTCTTTGGTAATTTTTTTTTCGAATCGAGTACATTAATGAATTGCTATTGATCAAAATCTCATTAGAACCGCGCCGTCAACGACTCTCCTCAAAAATTATTTTAAGCGGGGCCTACAATATAGACGTTAATAGTTTTTGACAAAATGATAGAAATCAATATTTACCAGGGATACCTGGAAAAATTGATTTTGCATTGCAGAAAACAAATAAGGATTTGTGCGACTATTTCATATCAATATATGCCCCGCTGTCAGGAGAAAACAAAGGATTGATGACGGGGAGAACCATAATCAATTTAATGTGACAGTTTCATGATACATGGGGAAGGTTCGACAGCAGGACATCATGAATAGTGAAGTCCATTATCATCTGTTCAAGGACTGAAAGCTGGATAAGTTTGTCTTAAAGCCAATGGGTTCATACCGTTCCGGCTCTCGACATACGTGATATGAGAACGAAGTATACTATACGAAGTCCCGGTGAAATTCGCTAGTTTGTCATTCGAATTCATTTACTTTGCATTTAAGTTTGAGCAGGTCGGCTTTGCCATGCCAATTATCATTCAATTTTCCTGTCTTTGTATTTAATTTAGGATATTGGTCGAAGGGTTTCATATATCTGTCATTTATATTAGAAACTGCTCAACTAGCATTCAAATTAATCGTCACTTGTCGAAGCGTCATTTTTATCATTTAAATTAACACCTGTCATTCATATTCGAAAAATGTTTATTCAAGTTAGGAATGTTAGGGGGAAGAAATGCAACAAACGTTTACAGTTTTAAAATAATGCAATTAAAATGCATACGTTGCCATTGAGGTCTATTCTGTTATTCCATTTATTCATAAACAAATTGGTAAACATTTTTTTAATTTGCATAAAGGCAGATTTATATCTGCATTTATTAACAAAATACAAATGAAATAAACTAAGAATATTTTGTTCAATGAAATTATAATAAGAAAGCAATGACATGAAAACAGTTATACATTCATAATATCATAATCATAACTTTGGGATTATTAAGGTGAAGGTCAGACGAATGAATATCGGTATTTTATGTGAATAATGTATGGAATGGTTTTGGAATTATATTGATTGCAAATTAGTAGTAGCTATAGTAGTTATTAGAAGTAGTAGCATCATCATCATCATTGTGATCATTATTCGATTTCAGTGGTAATGGATCCCCGTGCCCAGTCCCCCTGTGTATAGTTCCACCCCTAAATATAGTATTATTTCGATCTTAAGACCCTTCAACATTTTTTAAACTTTTACCTTCATTCTTACAAAGACTTACGATTGATCCAAATCAATCGTTATTCCTCCAATTAATCGCAAGTTTGTAGTCTCCTTTCTCTTATGTACATGGTTGCGATTGGTATCATTCGCAAATAAGTCGCGATTGATACCAACTTTTTGTTAGACGGGGCCCTGGAGTGTCTTCAATTTTATCATAAAGAAATATTTTTCCCACCGAAGAAATTGAATACCTACGAGCCTTTGCTTGCATTAAAGGTCTAGCGATTTACTTGAATGAAGTGGAAAATCATTTTAAAGTAACAGCTAGCCGAGGGATAGTGAGAATGGAGACATTTAAATAAAGAGGTCAACAATATAATCAAGAAAAATATAATCGAAAATACATGTTTTAAAACATCGTCAAATGTGCATTATGGTTGGCCTATATTTCGTAAATGAGGAAAAGTTTGGGAACTGCCTTTCCTGTCATTTGTCTGCTCACCTTCCTTCAAATCGTCTATTTTTCTATTCAGTCACAACCTTAACTTAAATAATTTAAAAGGGTATACGACAATGTGCTTTATGATATTGCCTAGCAGGCATATTTCAATTCCATGTCAATCCAATTCAATTTATTTCGCAATATAAAAATCAAAATAATCAATTAAGTAACGGTAAATTTAACTATGTTTTCAAAGGTTATATGCAGTGCTTTCCATGAAGGTTGCGAAAACCTGTGACGTTGGATCGCCCATTACATTCTTTTCATCCATTCATTTAGAGAAAATAAAAGCAAATATCGTTCCTCCTTTCAAATAGGCCCAGTTTGCCCTTTGAATGATAAACTTTGAGGAAATAATCCTCCGCTCTATTTTCTTGCTTCGAGAGAGGTAAAAAACATCATTCAAATAAAATTTCAAAGATTTGTTCTGCTAATGGAAAAAGCATGCTCAATAATACTGAATGAAAATAAAGAGCTAAAAAGAGAACGATTCTTCTGACATTCTCTCTACTCTGTCACATTTTCTGAAGAACGACGAACCAAAAACCAGTTCACGTGACTTACCAATATTAAAGTGACTCAGTAACATTGTTGAAGGTTGATGAAAAAAGTGCGTAATTTTTGTATGAAATGTTACTTATTATATTCTTTCTACTGTACTAACCCTCTAACATGCAAAAAACCTGAAAAGATTCTCAAACCACAAAGATATTTATGTTTTTGTTTGAAGGCGTCACTGTGCATCACACTTTAACAGTAAATTCTCCCATCCATTTTTGAATTTTTCTAACCGTTTTTCCATGAAAATGAGACACGAGACAGGCTTTTAAAAATCTTTCAACACTCAAATGTCTGGAACGGTATATAGAGCTAAGTCATTGCTTTGTGACGATTTACATTCACCTAAAATGTAATTAAATTGTAATAATATAGTTGGGAGAATTAAGGAATCGATCAGATCAGTTTTTCCCATTTTGGTCTGTTTTCACTCAAACTTTTAGATTATCTGTAATTGTACTATACTATTGTATTGTTGTCACTATACCTTTGCGCCATTTTCTCTCATATTAACAATGTTACCAAGTCACTTTAAGAAAGTTATAAGTGTTTGAAATATGAGATCACTACAGCTGTGTCACTGTGTGAATCTCAAATCGGATATTTTGTCAGTGGATTGTGACGTAGTGACGGATTACTCTCCCGTTTGTCGCGTACAAAAATATCACTTATTTCTGTTTTTTCTTCAAAGTGCCTTCACCCTTGGGGCACTACTCAAAATATTTCAGGGAGAGTCTTTTAAAAAGAACAGACCATCCCGAGGCATACAATGAAAAGTTGAAATTTTAGTCCTTTCGTGTATTGGAGCAAATGGGAAAGCTGTACACCACTCTACATCACATAGACATTATACATTCAGCCCATATCTATAGTAATTGCAAATTTCAAAATTCGAAACTTTCTAATTTTTTGTTCGATTTCATTCAAACTTTCCTCAGCATGCTTCTCTGATTTTTCTGCTTTATTCTAGACAAGTTTGCTATTAAGGTAGGATTTCCCTTTAAGATCAATTTACTCATCCGATCGTAGTGAAAGAGAAAAAAGAAGAAAAAAGGAAAACCTGTTGTAAAGTAAGAGATCAAAATGACAAAATACTTTTGAACTTTTGGTTACTGATATAGTTCACAGAAGTTTGTATAGAAGGCTTGTTACTTCGAGTTCGTGCTGACCAATGAAAACTGTCTTATCCCAATGTCATCGCAGATGGCGTGCATCCGAATCCACTTCGCGCAGAGTTCAATTCAAGACCGCATAAAAAGCACCTCGAAACTCCGATATTTCGCATTTATTGCATATGTTTGCGCGGGGTCTTATAAAACAATGTACACTTGTGCAACTGTTTTTTATTCATCAATAGAATGTGAGCAATATTTAAAATATAAATTAATTTATGAACGAAAGTTACACTTGCTATGTCAAAAAGATTGTTCCTGGATTAGATTCTAGAGCAATCGTGAAACCACAAGTCTTTCAATTTTGCGTAATGCTCATTGGTTGTCATTGACAGCAAACACAGCAAATGATTCATGAAAAGCAATTTCTATTTCATGTAGGCATGACCATCAAGTCGATCGGGATCGGTCAAAATAGATCAAGCTTATTAACATTTTTCAAAA